AATAAACAAAAACGTCACAAGAATAGGACAAGTTTTAGTGATCATCATTTAACATTTGACTTTCCTTTCTCTATTCCAAATAGTCTCAAGAGAATACGTTAACCCAAAATATCCCAACTTTATAAAGAAACAATTTATTCAAATTACTGAAGGTATATTTTTTCAACTTTTTTTCTCTATTTTTTTCAGTTTTATATTTTTTAATTTTTTTTTATACCAATTTTGATAACTACAACATAAAGTAAACTACATCCACAACATGAGATGCCAACAACATACTTAATGACATTGATCACCCCAAAATACTTTAAACCTAGAATTTTTCTCTCCTTATCATCAACTTGGTTGTTATCCTATCCTAAAGATGTGGAAAGCATTTTGTTTTTCTTTAGGGTACCAAGATTTGAAACAATTCATTGTTTTGCTAAAAAAAGGTACAAAGGATTCATTTTTTAGGTTAGCTTTTTGACTCAATTTCGTAAGAACAAAAATGCCTTGATCACTTCTTAACAAACATATGTTATGAAAACTCACAAGAGACTCAAGCAAAATCATCTGCATGAAGTTTAATTGTAATAGTCAACAACAAATTTCTAAGGAGCACATCCTTTAATCTAGATTACTCTAATGTTATATTTCTAAATTTAATTTACTTTTTATATTTAATTGATTGTTATTGATTGTCTTGTTTTTTTAATTTGAAATATTTATTGTATTGTTGATATTGACTTTCTTAATAAATATAATTTTTATTTATTTATGAGAGTTAAAATTCTACAATTAAAATTAAAATAATAAGGGTGAAATTTTAAAAAAAATGGAGATGCAAAATTATAAAATTAAGAAATAGAATAAAAATAATATATAAAAATATAATTAAGGCTAAAATACAATACTCCGATTGATATGATTAAAATCAATAGGCAGCTATTAAAATATAAGGTTGAAAGGCTTTTGGCTGGTGACTTTCTGCCGCTTTTTTGTCCACCTCCTTCTCCCTAAAATACTTGATCATTACAGATTGAAATAAATCGCTCAATTAATCAAAATCAATACTCTGATTGATCAATATCATTAAAATCAATTCACTTATGAAAACGTAACTGTTACTCAAGTCTTGCATTTCTTCTGCTTCTTCAAACCTGGTAGACACACTTCAACACATAAAAAGTTACCACTAAACCCTAAACATCAAACATAAGACTGAAATTAATTAACCTTATCACCACTGAAAATGGACCGATAAAAAATCATATATGAATGCACTTTGGTTCTTATTTTATGTTGAAAACAACTTATAATTTAAAGAGTAAATGATCTCTGCACTAGCTATCCATGTACATATATTAACAGAATGCCGAAATTCACAAGAAGTCCCAAGTTAAAACCACAGTCCCCAATGCTCATCGAAAAAAGTCCCTCTGCAAAGATCATCAAGAACTTAAACACAATTAAAAGAAAATATGAATACGATGAAGTGGACAAAAAAAATCGAATAATAAACTTCAAAAGAAAATAAAGAAAGATGAACAAGTCTTCTGCATGGATAATCGAGAAATTAAACACATTAAAAGAAAATATGAAGATGATTGAGTGATAGCTAGAAAACCACCTTCAACAATGGAAAATAACAATGGAAAACCTTGCACCCTCCGTCTCATTCTTCTTCTTCTTTGGATGGTTCTTTCTTGGCATTTGTTTAATGGCTGTAGAGTTGCAGATCAAATTCTAATTAAAGCTTATTCCTAATGCTGAGGTATTTTTTGTAGGTTGTTTCTTATTTGTTATATTGTATTAATCCATCCATTTTAGGTTTATAATACACGTTCAATTATCCTAAACTACCTCTTGGATTGCTAAATTACGGATGCACCATTGCAAATCCAATATTTATTATTTTCGCATAACAGCTTTTATTTATTTATTTTTTTTCAAGCAATAAAGGGTTTTACACTCCTCCTTTTAGGCTAAATTGTAATTATTATATATATATATATATATATATAT